TACACCAATTAGTTGGCGCAGCTCCTCTTTTACGAGAACGGGACTGTCTACAACCAGACTTTGATTATGGATTCCAACTATGAGGTGGATCCTACCTTAGTGGCAGCACAGGGGCTGCCATTCTACGCCGGCACCTGGGTTGTTAACCTGCTGACAACCAATCTCGTATGCGATGAATGACTGCTGGTGTAAAATGCTTTGCTCATAGTTCCAACGCAGGCATTGGGTGCAACGTTCACTCACTTACTCCTGTGGAACAAAGATGACCTTCGTGCAGCCTGGACTTGGATCAACATGGACACATTGAGGAGTTGGCGTGCTAATTTCGATTGGAAGTTGTGGAAACACAGTGGGAAAAGGGAAGTCACCGCTAACACTGAGGACCTCGACCCGCATTACCGAGAGATGCTGAAGGTTAGTCCTCCTGACATGCGATAGAGACCTTACTATTAACATATTACTCTGCAGTATCCAGATGCTCCGAATAGTTGGTACTTCTTGACGTTCGTTATCTCCTTCATTCTTGGATTGGTCGTCATATACAAGACAGATTCCACGCTTCCCTGGTGAGCAACATTCTCACTCTCCATCTGACGAAATTTTATATCATGTCCCTCAAGGTGGGGCTTCATTGTCGCAGTACTCTTGGCCGCTGTGTCTATCTTGTTCTTCACCGCGTTGTACGCTATCACCGGCATTTCGCTTTCCATCCGCGAGTATTGTTTTTGCTCTATAGGTGCCCTGAGTTGATCTTTTAGTGAAGAAACCCTAGTCCAGATGATTGCTGGCTACCTACACAAAGGAAAACCCATGGCGAACATGTTCTTTGTTCGTTTTGCCATCATTTCCAGTCTTTGACCAAACTGATGTTGGTATTCACAGGTTCTTTACAGCTATGTACGCATCTTCATTTTCACCTCCTCGACCTTTTGATTTATTTTCTCCCTAGAATGCCGTGTCTCAAGCAATGCTGCTCCTAAGCGATCTGAAGATCGCTCAATGTATGTGCGCGTTATTTGTCGGGAAAGGCGTCTCTCACTGGCGGATTCCTAGACGCCAAACTGCCTCCCCGTGCTGCATTCACAGCCCAGATCATTGGCACCTTACTCGGCGCTGGTCTCAACTATGGTTAGGGAGCCATCTTGCCTATTCATTCTCCATATTTGACTTGTTTTAGAATTAATGGATTCTATCATCAATAATCAACGCGAAATACTGTTGTCTGTACAAGGAACGAATATCTGGTCTGGCCAGCAACCTCAAGCATACAACTCGCAAGCCATTGCGTGGGGTGGCCTTGCTCATGAACTCTTTTCGTCTGGTCAAAGATACCAGTGGGTTCCTTTATCCTATGTCATCGGCCTGGTTGTTCCTCTTCCTTTCTGGATCATTCACCGTTACTGGCCGAAACTGCGCATGGATTACTATTACACTCCTATCATCTGGTACGTTCTCAATTCATCAATCACCATTATTCGAAGCTCATTATATGAACAGTGCGTATCTCGGAACTCTTTGTGTTGGAATAAACTCCTCGGTTTTGTCGTATTTCGCGATCGCGTTCTTGTCTCAGTGGTGGCTCCGCACTAGGTACCCGCGTTGGTTCAAGGAATACAACTATCTGGTTGGTGCAGGTAAGCTCTGTGGCCTTTTTATCTCGACCAGTAACATAACGCTATACTATAGCCCTTGATGGTGGAACGCAGGTCATGGTGTTCATTCTCTCCTTTGCGGTCCAAGGGGCTGCTGGAACATCGCACCTTTTCCCGGAATGGTGGGGTGCAGACCAAAACGGAAACTACGACCACTGCTTGTATCTCTAAATACCACGCTCTTAGTCTATTACATCAGGTTGATGTGTTTTTGTAATCATACAGCAGGGTTAAAAATATTTAAGACAGGTTTTAATGTTATCTGGAATGCAAAGAACATTCTTGAAATTTAAACTAACATATATACCATGAGCCCATTCAGCAACTGTTGTTTGAAAGAACATTTCGCCAAACCAAACATTATTGGTCGGCACACACTACCGAAATTCAAGCTCAGTCTGAATAGTGAGTGACACATCGGGGTCAGCAATATCTAAGAGTGCTTTACATGTTGTACAAAATGCGAAGACAATACTTCAAACTTTGGGCAGTCGAAAACTTCATGTATTTGTAGACATTTTCACCTTGATTAAGTAACAAATATATAAATTGGCATAGATGTCTAGCTTAACTTGAAATTTTGGCGGTCAAAGTTTTGTCAAACATTAAAAGAAACAGTTCCTCCAGATGCGGAGGAAACCGGCTGCAATTATTGACCAATAGTATGACATGAAGATAAGTAGTAGAGCCCCCCAAAATGAACGCTGAACTATGTACCAAGTAGGAAGGTGTGGTGGGTGATCAAAATCTAGCTAGCAAGGTGACAGTAAAGGTAAGAAAGAGATATACAAATGAACTAAGAACGAGCTCACCAAGCGAGGTGATGGTAAAGGTAAGAAAGGGGACAAGCTCAATCTAACATCACGCCGCCTGCTAAGTAAGCATAGCTCCACCATAGGAGGACGGAGCCTGAAAGAGGATTGACTCAATCCTGAAAGACATGTGAAAGGCGGGACCACTAAACACGATCAGCACCGAACACGCCCACTGAGAGTGGAGAGTATTTGAGTCAAGCTCAAATGGAAGTTATGTCGCTCATGATGATGCTAGATATCATGCGGCCCATTAGCTTAGTATAAATAAAATTACACCCAACTAATGGGCCTCACACAATTTCAGAAGGCATCCGTGCACCGGTATAGCCAAGAAACAGTTCCTCCAGATGCGGAGGAAACTGGCTGCAATTATTGACCAATAGTATGACACAAAGATAAGTAGTAGAGCCCCCCAAAGATATAAACTGAAGAGATGAATGCTAATACAAAAGGTAGTAATACAAAGATGATGCACACAACATTACACATCCGCAAACAGCGGGTTGTGCGCTGGCCGACCATGAAAGAGTAACCTGCACCAGCAAGGGACGTGGCACCCCCTGCCTGCATCGAGTGACTAGATATCATTGGTCCGAAGAATGTATGCAGTCTCCGAATGAACAATGGACATGTAGGAGGTTTGCCATTAGAGCACAGCCACAGAAATGGATGCAGAGGAAAACGAGAGTCCCACGCAACCAAGAACTGCGTGAAGAGAGGGAGAGGGTCTGAACCAACCAACCAACATTGGATTAACACCCAATTCCCTTCCAGCCATGAATCGGTCTTGTCACGCTAGATAAGGAATGAGAACTCATTGTTGGATAAACCAACAGAAGCTCATTGAGTGATTTTTGACATGTCCCTCAAAATTACATCATCTGGCACTACTAACTCTCCAAGCCGAAGAAGACCATAAAACCCACAATGAAGCTGTGTTATGCGACTTCATGTCTTCTCGAACTTCAGCAATGTGCAGTAGGAGCCTTTCACTGATTTGCTTTCTTGCCTCAATCACTCCAAATTATGGCAAACTGAAAAGCTGTCCACGAATGTGAGGATGAAAGGGATGCAGATAGACTGAGTAAACAGGCAAAAATGGTTGCAGAGAGTAAGGTTTTGACATCAGCCCTGGGACTTGGAGATGATGACCTTGATATTATGCTTGCCAATGTATGTAGGTTCACCACGAGCAGAGGATGACTTTTACCTGCAGCAAATGGTCCTGATGATGTAGCAAGCAGGATGGCTTGCTTCCCGCAAATGTCACACAGACCAACAGAGTGTAGTCCCTCCCCCTACTTGTGAGGATGAGTTTGTGGTGACCGCTGTAAAGATACAACAATGCTTGATACTATACAAAGTAAGTGTCAGCAATATAAAAATGTTGTAGTGGTCTTGCACAGCCTAGTCTGCTATACTTGCTAGACAAGTGTGTTCGACCTGAGGGGTTTGCTATTGGAATAAGTCTATAGTTAGTCAATTGATAAACTGTCAAAAGTCCGAGTGCGAGAAATGAGATCCAAAGGTATAATTACAAGTCCGATGCCAAGGTGTCGGCCAATGTTTTCGGGTTTAGTGGGTTTCGGGTGTGGGTTTGGTGGGTTAATGTCGGGTTCGGGAAATGATTGTCGGGTATAGTGAGCAGTATGCGGAATATCGATAATGACAGGTGTTTCAGATAGAAAGAGCGGTAATATTCGCAATGTCAACTAAGAACTATGAAATATCGGGTTTGACCACAAAGTGTCGGGAAACGGCTCCCTACTACTTGGATGATGAATATGCTATGTGGAAACCAATATATATATAAGTACATAGAAATACGGAACCCTATAGGTGAAAGTAGTGGCCGAAGAATTTCGGGTCCGATGTACATGTAAATAAACATGAGGCGCTGCGGATTATGGGAAAACATGTAATAGTGCTCGCTATGACGTGAGTAATGTGCGAAATAATCAACTACGCACCTAGTGGGGCTAGCTGACAAGACAAGACACGGATAGGACAAGTGCATGGGAAAACATCGGGTCCGCTGGTCAAAGTATCGGGTTCGGCAGATATGCGACCGGTTGCATCGGGAAGTGAATATTGAGCAACAGACATTTGATGTGATGCATGAAATGGCTGAATATGAGCCTAGCGCAAGCTCAAGTGCTACACCACCCATGGGGAGAGTTTGAGTCATCGACTAAAGAAATGGAAGAATGAGATCAAGGAACAGGAAAAAACAATTGTGGATGCCCACTGAAATGCACTGAACCCTGAAACACAAGTGAGATTATCACCAGCTCCTGCATCGGCAACCAGTGAGAGTCTTGTACATCAGTCAGCCTTGGGTCACCTGACACAGACAGAATGTGAACCTACTGAATGCCCTTGTGCTAAAGACACCATTTTGGGTACAATGTCTCCGAAGGAGGTGATTGAATCAGTGGGTTCTGAACACAACCTCAATGCCAAACAATGGGTGGCTTTCAGAACAATCACAGAATTCTTCATCACAAAATATGTTGACAAAACCATGCCAGCAGAAGAGCAACTCAGAATGCTGATGACTGGACCAGGTGGGACAGGAAAGACTCACATTGTGAAAGCCGTCCAACGAGTGATGCAGCATTATGGGTGTGCACATCTCATCAGGTTGTTGGCCCCAACTGGATCAGCAGCCGCACTCATTGATGGCATGACAGTGCACAAAGAACTGGGAATCAAGATTAAGTCAACAAACAAAGAAAAGGGTAATCACACACCAGGCAGCAGTGCACAAAACTATTCAGTCTTGATCAGTGTGCAGAATTGATCACAGCTCCAGGATGAGTGGAAGAATGTCAAATTCCTCCTTGTAGACAAGGTCTCCTTGGTGTCCTTACAGTTGTTGGCTGAGATAGATCATGCACTCAGATATGCGAAAGAAAAGCCAGATCAGTGGTTTGGAGGTGTCACAGTCATATTCTCTGGCGACTTTTATCAGTTTCCCCCAGTTGGAGGGACAGCCTTATACACACCCATCTCACTGTATGCAGGCCAAAATGATGCTGAGATACATAAGAGGCTCAGCCAGCTGGCATGGAAATTGATCAACACTGTAGTCAACTTAATGGAACAGCAACACATGAAAGATGACCTGGAGTATGGTGAGGCAGTGAACTGATTATGTGAGCGAAGATGCACAGAAGAAGACATTGAATTATTCAATTCCAGAGTGATCAAGTCAGCTTACCAGATGGGTGTGGACATGGGTCTCTCTGAAAATGCAGAAGCTGCGGCCATTGTTGCCACAAATGCCATGTGAGAGGTGCTGAACATCTGCAAGGCAGAGACTATGTGCCTTGACCCTGTGAAATTGATGCTGTGCACTGCTTTAGATAAGTCTGGCCGTAAACTTTCCATCTCAGAACATGATTCTCTGCTGAAGATGAATGTATCTGCACTAAAGTCTTCATGCCCTCTACCAGGATATGTCTCACTGTTTGTGGGGATGCCCATGATTTTACACTCCCAGAACCTCTCAACTGACCTTGGCATCACAAATGGTTCACAAGGCATTGTCCAGCAAATTTTCATCACAAGATCATCAGCAGGCTTCAACCATGCATCCTGTGTCCTGGTCCACTTCCCTGATAGCAAAGTGCATCTCAGCAAGCTTCCCCAAGGCTGGTATCCCATCTGTCCTGCAACATGGACCTTTACAACTACAATGGATGGTGCCAATGGCATTCAAGAGAGGTTATGGATCACACGGGCCCAAGTCCCACTTCAACCAGCTTTTGCCATCACTGCCCATTCTGTGCAAGGCAAAACACTGCCTCGAGTTCTGGTAAACCTTCATGAAGGTGGTTTTGCAGCATATGGTGCTGCCTCTCGTGCAAGGGGACACATGGGCTTATTGTTAAGAATGTGCTCAAGGGTCAAATTCAAAGGACTTGGCTTCAGCTCGTGCGCTGCGCCCCTTACCTGAGTATGTGCTCCTAACTTCCGAAGGCTGTCAAACGATGTCTGAAGGTTACTGGACGATGTTCAGAGGGCGTCGGGCAATGTCCGGAGTCTGATGTCCGATACACAGGAATTCTGGCGGATGTTTGGGAACAAGAGATAAGACTAATCTGGACGAAGTCTGAACTAGAAAGGAAACAGCAGAGGACTACCAGAGGTAGAGGCAGAGGTGTCAAGTCTATAGGATTCAATCCTAAGACGAGCGGAGGATGATGAGAGAGAACTCAAGTCGGATGGAGGAGGGAATGAGCAGAGTCTAAGATAATATTTGAACTAAGGATGTACATAGATTCTACAGGGTTTATATACTACTGATGATTTAATGGAGAGTAAGCCAGCGCAGTCCGAAGCTATGCAAGGCTGTGGACGGAGGGTATAGAAAAGTCAAACACTAGTCTATCGGAAAATAATAAATGAACCCGAAGATTAGAACAGAGGAAAATAAAGGCGGAAATGAAACGAGGTACTGAAAATGATTTATAGTCTAACTGGAGTAGGAACATACAAAGGGATAAGGTATGGAAGTTAGACGCAGGTCGGATCTGGACATAGATAGACATTGGCCGGATCCGGACATCCGGAAATGATGTGTGTGATAGGTCCGGGTCCGGAACATGGGATATGACACTTATGCCTGACAGAGCGAGTGACTTCCGAACAGCTCAACAAGCGCATTCCAATAGACTTATCTGTTGAGGTTCAACACTTCTAAGCCTTGGAACACAACACACTGGTCAGAATGGGCCTGAAAGAAGGGGTGACTGTGGCCATACCGGATGCAGAGGGTGAGGTTGCTCTTGCTAGTGTGCCCATCAAGGTGGAATTCACTGGCCAGGGCACACATTCTCTCACACAGAAATGTCAGCATGAGCACACAGATGAAAGCTTGTCAAACAAAGCATTCAGCCAAAATGCTCCACCCATCAAGCAATGTCGCACATTGAAAAATGTATATCCACATTCCCATCTTGCCCCACTCATCCTCCAAGCACCTGCTGCAGCACCTCCACCCACTGTTGGATGCAGATGGTCTATGTCCGACTGGTCCTGCTCATACAATAGCGTGTTCATGGTTTTCTGCTACATGTATGCCCAGGCTGATGAAAACTGGCAGATGACATGGGCCCAAGTGAATCCCCTGTGCGGCACATTGGCAGCATCATTTGAGTTCATACTGCAGTCTGACACCAACTGTTTCTCACCTGAGGTTTTTGATCATTCTAGGGACACTTTTCATGATATGCTCTCAGCATATGATGCCACACAGTTCCCCATCAGGGTGCTCGCATAGCATCCATCGTCACCATTCTCAGACTGTTGTGTGGTGATGATGAGCCGCTCCTGCAGATGGTCCCCATGTCTCCTTCTGGTTTCCCCCCTGCTGTCGCTTTACTGAACTTTGGACTGCCTCAATATTGTGTGGCAGTTCGGAATTCAGACACATCCAATGCACATATGTCACTCCAACTCTGGTTAGACCTTTGGCTACAAAGGCAACTTGTCAGGCTCAATTGTGGCCACTGTGCCTCTGAGAGGGAAGAAACATTCATTGTACCATCACATGACATTGGCCTGCATGATGCCCCTCCTGTAATCTTCTTTGAGGTGATGCCCCACAAAGTTGGTGTTATTGTGCCATCAGATACACTCACCCTATAATGCCAATATTGTGAAGCCTCGTATCAGCTCAATGGAGTGATATATTGTGAACAAGAGCACTTTGCTGCATGCCTCATCGTTGACAAGAGTATCTGAAAATACAATGGTCAGCAGAATGATGGTTGTCCACAGAGAGACAAGACTTCTACTGCAGATCTGGTCAAATTGTCTCAGCAACCTGCACTTGCATACATTTATGCATGCAGAGAGGTCAAGGATATCCAAACCTGACATGCTGCCAAAAGACGATGGGAGTGTCATGTGGACCACAGTATGTACCTACTCATTTAGCATGGCAGCAGCTCCTGGCTCTAAGGAAGTGGAATAAACTGGGCACGCTAACTTCAAGGACAGACATTGCTAAGGTAGGTGATTTACACATGATGCTCTTCCAGTAATCATTTTACTGTGTACAGTTTATCACATGATCATTGACAACTCGGCAGCATGATACATTGATCATCCATTTCCCCACAGTCTAACATCTCCAGGATTATTATCAATATATGCTTCTACCCATGAGCTAGGCCATCGACAGGTGAGCAGTCACCAAGTGACACAAAATACTGGCATCGGGGATCTCATGCAGAGGGAAATGGAGCTCATAGTGAATGTGTATGCATTTCTCAATACAGTTCCTTGTCTGATATCCTCTTGTCAGATAACTTCCATTCTGAAGGCGTCAGGCCCTGTGAACATCTTCTATTTCATAATCAACCCTGCCCACTTTGGACAGTCAGTAGAAAATCTGTACTACTTGTTGTCCTTGTTTCACAATGGTATCTGTGCCTTATATTTAATGGAAAATGGTGAACCCATGATATGTGAGTCTCTCATTTTCATTGATCTAAGCTGGCTGAATGCTCTCAGACTTGTGTGAACCACCAATGAGTGAAGATTGCATGGCTGGCATCTCAAGATGGGAGATGGTAGTGGAAGTCAATATGGGAACCTGGAGGGTGAGTTTCTTGCCATCACGATATGCGTGTTTACGACAGTCAGTTCATCCAGAGAGCCATCACCGTTGTAAAGATACAACAATGCTTGGATACTATACAAAGTAAGTGTCAGCACTATAAAAATGTTGTAGTGGTCTTGCACAGCCTAGTCTGCTATACTTGCTAGACAAGTGTGTTCGACCCGAGGGGTTTGCTATTGGAATAAGTCTATAGTTAGTCAATCGGGGAATCGTCAAAAGTCCGAGTGCAAGAAACAGAATCCGAAGGTATAATCACGAGTCCGATGCCAAAGCGTCAGCTGATGTTTTCGGGTTTAGCGGGTCAGCAGGTTTCGGGTGCGGGTTAGGGAAACGATCGTCGGGTATAGCGAGCGGTATGCAGAATATCAATAATGATGGGTGTTTCAGATAGAAAGAGCAGTAATATTCACAATGTCAACTAAGAACTACAAAAATATCGGGTTTGACCACAAAGTGTCGGGAAACGGCTCCCTACTACTTGGATGATGAATATGCTATGTGGAAACCAATATATATATAAGTACGTAGAAATCCGGAACCTATAGGCGAAAGTAGTGGCCGAAGAATTTCGGGTCTGATGTACATGTAAATAAACATGAGGCGCTGCAGATTATGGGAAAACATGTAATAGTGCTGGCTATGACGTGAGTAATGTGCAAAATAATCAACTACGCACCTAGTGGGGCTAGCTGACGAGACAGGACACGGATAGGACAAGTGCGCGGGAAAAATGTCGTGTCCGATGCGGCCGATGTGTCGGGTCCGCTGGTCAAAGTGTCGGGTTGCATTGGGAAGTGAATATCATGCGACAGTCATTTGATGTGATACGTGAAATGGCTGAATATGAGCCTAGCGCGAGCTCGAGTGCTACACTGTTTTTGACATTCAGACCCCCATGATCCCTCACAGGGCACCAGTGACAATATGACCCTTGCCACACAATGGACTTTCCTATGCAGCATTCAAGTGTATCACTACATATATAGTTGGCACATTGTGTATTCTCTCCAATGACACCATTCTATCCTTCTTGCATTTTCTGGTTCTTTTTTTGGGGTGGTTCTCAGGGTCGGTGTGATTGATGGCACACAGACACCTGTGATGTTTCAGATCGGCTCAGAGGCCTGTTACAGCACACATCAATGTCCTACCATTGGACCAACAGTTGAAGGTTGAAACCTCGGACAACGGTCTGAAATCATGTTCCAAACTGTAGATGACAATGATTGTGACCCTATCAGTCAATGATGTCATGGACTACCAGTTCAGTTGATTAGCTAACTTGCCAAAATATCACTTGACATGCTGCAATCACAATGCCAGAGACTAGGGCCTCCCTGCCTCAACATGAGACCCAAACTGATCCCACTTTTCACCAACACCATCACACCAGCCCTCACTACAGAATCATATACCCCACATAAATGAATTTTGCTTCGCTGCTGGACATTTTCAATGGCGAGGGGGCTTGGATATTCAGTGAGCTTTCCATTGGGCTGCCACCACATGTCTGCTGATGTACTGTAGTCGAACAACAGACCAGGTCCCCCACCAGCCTTTCACATTGTGCCTAGCTTAAATCTTGAGAGTGCCGCACGGGAAGAACATTTTGCACCCATCCCCTGCTTGATTTTGGTGACCGGCCAATTGTATTACATGCCTGTGATCCTGAATAGTACAGACTTCTCTCCTCCAACACATGCGCACACTAACTTTGAATAGCTATCATGCACTCCATTGCCCATGACTGGTCTGTTCATACAGTATATGCTCAAGACCTTGAGTTAGCCAAGAACATTGCACGAGCAGCAGGGAGAATCTGGAAACTTCGTCTGCAGCAGAACCAACTAGATACTGTGACAGAGGTGTAGCACACACATGCTCCAACCTGGTTTGCAAAACGAATGATACTTTGATATGAATGTCCTGTGTCCATTCAATGTGAGCATCCAAGCATGGTGGGCTTGTTCTGTATTGTCCATTGATGAAGACGTGGGTCACCAAGACATACCTCGGTCACTATTCAAAGAAATTTGTGGCAGGACGATGAGACACACCCTAGTCTAAGAGTGATGGTGTCATGGTGAATGGTGATCATGTCTGAGACCACTCAGATCAACCAATGGGGTGAGTATTCTGATCTATCTGAACTCATGTTTCATTCTGTTCAAAGGATTGAGATCAATTGCTCAGAGCCTCGGTCAGACCATGGAAGTAAGCCCCCCTGATACTTGCTGCTGGGCCAGTGCCTGGTTAGGCTGATAGCCAATACCAAGAGATCAAATCAATACCAGTCAGACACATGCCCCCATCAGATGCACCATGATCAGTGTGGCCAGAAGATGTACATTCCCCAGAGCTGCTGTCAGTCATCTTACCTATGTATCTCATAGATGCCCAGTCTTCAATCAGACTGCACTCATGCAGATGGTATACCAGTACCTTCCACTACTTACAGATGTGGTGGCGCTGTGATGCTCAGACCTGCACTGGGCAGCAAATAGGGTATTTTCATATATGTGTCAAGGAGTATAGGACACTACCAGTTTCATTATCATTGTCCACCTTTTGTCTTGCAAGTAACCCTTATCCGAAACTGAACCTGCTTTCCTGTGCATTGCACATCTGCTTATCCGCGCTTTCCCATGCTTTGGATACCTCGGAAATGCATTATGAAAGTTCCTTATCCATCCATAAGTCCATCCAAACACCATTGGTATGTGAATTTCCTTACCTCAAGGCTTGTAAAATGTGTTGCAGCCTTATTACATGTCCTTACATATTTCCTATATTTCCTATCCCTTCCTACTCCGAGTGGGATTCTAGATAGTATAAGTTGCCTATACTTTGGACTACTTACTGCACTTCCCTTATATTATGTACCTCACCCTATAGGTTTGCCTTGGAAATAGTCCCTAGTAGTGCACACTTTTGAGCCCCTATTAGGTTCCTTATACCTCTATACCTAGGATTCCCTTACCTCGCAATATACCTTTGCCCTTACTCCCTTGAAACCTCATTCCTTAACCTCCCTATACCTTGTCCGCACTTTCCTGCACTTTCCGCACCTTCAGCCATGTGTTCCCACATTTCGGATAACCTCGGATACATTCCCATACCTCACGCATACCTTGTCCACTATTTTCCCACGCTTAGCACACTCTTGGGTTCGCGCATATCAATCATCTCTCTAGTAGCAAATCCCTTTAGGGTCAAACACGTCTGTTTAGACATAGCAGCTAGGCAATAGCTAGACCCAACTTTGTCCTTGCTACTCAGCAGGACTATTGTCACCACAGCACTTCAAGGCACAAGCTGGGAGATGCAACATGTGGGTGCAGAGTGTGTGGCCACCCGGTTTGACAATATTCTGCAGCCATTTATCAGGGAGCACATGGCTGAATTTTGGTTTTTGCTCCACATGGCCTCAGCAGTCATTAATGGCTCTTGCGCAATACAGATGTTGCGATCTGATTGTGAGTGCCCAATGAACCTCAACATTGTTGTCCCAAAAGATCGTGATCTCTCACTGGTGGTGCTTATCCTCAAAACCCTGAAATATCACCAATCACAGAACATGGCCATAAACTACTCTTACACAAAGGTTGTCAGCTCCTACTCAGAATTCCAGCATGGTCCATTGAGGATCACAGTATCCTAGGTCTTTGCAAACAGTGTCTTCAAGGTCATTGCCACCACTCATACCACTGCTGACATGACAGTGATGACAGCTGGAGGGCTCGCCATCTTCTATGCATCATGGACATTGGAGGGCATAGCCATCACCAATCACTCAGTGCTACACACCACACCTGGCAAAAATGTAGGTTGTATGGAGAAACAGGACTGGAAAGTCTACAATACAACCTCCTTTCTCAATGAACCCTGTGGACTGCTATGCCTGACATTATGGAATAACATGGCCAATGTAGGACCACATGCCTTTGTCACAGAGTGGGACCAGAGGTTTCCCATCAAGGGCCTGGTCAATCGTTCCAATGTTATCTAGCCTGTCAGATCGGTGTTCTAACATAGAATGTCCATATGATACTGTGATTAATGGACACACATGTCATCTGCCAGCCACACCAATGCCACATGACTTGGTCAGCATCGAGTTACAGAAGCAGAGAATTGAACATGCCCTTATCCGTAGAATAGCAGGGATCAGTAGCAATGACGCAGACGTGACAGGAAATGTTTTGGTGGTCAAGCACGCTCGAGGGAATAAACATGAGATTGTCAACTGCTCAGTGCAAGACATCGAAGGCATCAACACAATTGTCCAAAGGTCATCCAGGCTAACAATATTTGATAATGAATTAACATGGCCTTCTCACAGGACAGTTGGACATGCAGAATTCTGGACCTGAAACTGTGTAAGAGGGTACCAGATCGCTGTGGAGGTTGCAGTTGGCAGAGTTTGCACCTGATATTGTCCCGTTAGTATGTAAATGTAGAATTATATGTTTGAACAACTTATGCTTTTAGCGTGTCTTGAATCATACTACACCCTTCTATGTTATTGTTCATCTGTCAGTGTGGTGTGAAAGAGATGGTGTTCCAACCCATCACATTGAGGTCAGGCCTGCATTCTGATGAATCAGAACTCTTAAAAGCATCAAGAGATGAATGAACATGTCATAGCTCATACTTTGGCCCAGATGCAAGGCAAACAGAACAATATCTCAATATTCACTGTGTTGAATACATGCACTTAAAGATGGTAAGACATATACTACTCAGTCTGCATTTCCTGCCAGTCGATCCATTATGAGACCTGCTCCCAAAAAATATGGCATATAAGGAACCTTGCATGCCTCAGCGGCCAGATACTCCGTCATCTCAATGATATCCATGAAGGCTCCAGTGACTGTTACATCATTTGCAATAGTGTGCACCATCTCTGCACAAATGAGGGTAGGCACATCAAGACTTACAATGCAGTTGGGTTGGATACTTGCACAGTTCCTCCAATGCAAACATCACTCCTTGGGTTAATTGGCCAGCTGCAGGAACTCCATTGGAGTGTAAGTCTGCACTGGTTTGTACATGGAAGACAGAGAACTGTCCCAGCTGACGATTGACTATGGCTCATAAGTTCATAGTGGGAGGCTCGAGGGATATGCACAAACCAAAAACAAAGGTGCCTTGGCAGTTGAACAACTTGACTAGATCAAGGGCTGCTGCTAACATAGTTTTTCTCTGAGCATGCAGAATAAGATGCAAGTAATGGTGGTTTGAGATAGAATGGGCCAAATACCTCAGAGTGCCTTGAGCAGGTGGAATCGGGGTCCCTTCTCGATGTGTGACCAACATTTGAACTGAAACATGGGGGGATAGTGAATCAAGCCTGTCGATCAGAGGGGCAGATTGGTAAGGCATGACAAGGCATGAGTTCAGATTGAAAACATCTGCATGAACTTATTGGATGATGTCATATCTGACATGTCACCATTACAAGAGACAGAGGAGGTGTCATATCCCATATATTCACGCTTCTCTTCCGGACTTTGGACCCTGAGATCCGGTCCGGTCTGATGCATAGATCTGCTTCTGATCCGATATCCGATAAGCTTCCTATTTCATTTCCTGTTCATTTAATATTAAACACAGCGTATTCGGTATTTCCTCTTCCTGTTGTTTCGGCTATACTTATTACCGGTATGATTACTGATCCATTAACCTATGCTTCATTTCCGACCCGCGTTTGATAACCTTTGCACATGCTTCGTACATAGCCTTCGGACCTTTGCTTACTTATCGTTGCGTTATCCTCTTAGTATATAAACTCGTGTATATGTCCTGTAGTACCTCAGTTTGAATATCATCTTAGTTTGTCCTCTTTCCGTCCTCCGGACTTGAGTCCTTCTTACTCTTGTCACTCTCCGAGACTTCGGATAGATTCCGATAGTCTATATCCTCAGCTCTACCTTCGGGTAGTCTTTACTCTGTTAGTTTCTAGTTTGGATACGTCTGGATTAGCCTTATACGCATTTCCGATATCCGGAAGACATCCGGATATACTACAAGACCTGTCCAGACCTTCGGACGTGTTACTGTTAGTACTTTGAAATAAGGGACAGTACTTGAAAAAGGGGCACAGCATACGAGCTGAGGCCGAAGTTCTTCGGATCCGACCCTATGAGAGTACGACCTTAACAGGAGGATAGGAGGATCGGCAAATTGAAGATACCCTGTGACATGTGATTGTGGGCCATGTCATGTGCAAACACAGGTATAATATAAATAGTGAGGTTGAAGGTGGACATGCTCACCAGAACTTCGATTTGACCATTAATACATACTAGGCCATGTCTTCTACTTCATCTGATTCACTCCCTACATCCCCCAGGCCTTCTGTTCTGAAGAGTCCAATGTGGAGATCATTGTATGCGCTATGCACCACCGCTGCAGCCATCAATAGCCACACTGTCAGCAGTGTGCCCATGACACACAACCCAAGGCCACTCAGAGGCATGGGTGATAATGCAGAATACTAGGTAAATGCTGCAGGGCAACCATTCACATTCAAATTTCCTGTAAGGGTCAACCTCGTAGGCCAGTTCAATCACACAGGGCCATACTCCAATCTGCCACATACAGGGGTAAGTCTCACATTTGTTTCATTCAGAGCAGAAGAAACCTCACATCACAGCAATTGAACAGCTCGACCTTGGTGCATTGAAGAAGATGTGTGCACAGTTTGAGCTCCGCCAGCTCGAGGAGCATGAGTCCAATGAGTTCCCACCTGAAGCCATCAGATGCAGTGTGGCCACAATGGAATCATTCAATGTCCTGCATGGTGAGGCCGAAGATGCTGGAAATGCTTGTAAGTGCTGGCAATAATGGCATCACAAAATACAAGATTGACCTGGCTCACAGTGCTCTTGGGCAAGGCTTTCTATCCCCAGGACATGTCCTTCTGGCGCAAATATAAAGAGGGTGGGAGAAAATGTTTGTCCACCATCATGACCACAGATCCTCTAGTGGTGAACATTCTGGATCCCTCCCAGTCTTCTATGCCCCATCTGAGATGGAGTGATATCGGCAGTATGTCATCTTTCAACATGCTGTACATCAGAGCATGGCACTAACAGATATGCAGGAGAGCATTCTATGCAGCCGGGCAGTAAGTCTCTTGACATGATGGCCCATATCAGAAGTGCTGACCGCCACCTTTAGCGAATGTAAATGCCGGAGGGCACAGTACAGGTGCCCCAGGGGGTGAAGGACAGGGATCAAGTGCTGTTGATGGTAAGAACAATAGGTGACCTGCCATGGGTACTGACTGATGCTGGTGATGCCTTGACCACAGAAGACAACTTGCTGTCCGATTTGCCAAACCCATTGGGATGGTATGCCGGACTCGTCACCCAGTACAACCTCCAGTGCAGCAAAGTGGATGCCCTGATTATCTGTGACATTCATGGAGACCTGATCCACCCGCAAGAATACAGGATGAAGCTTGTGACTGGTGACATTGGGATGGTGGAATGTCAGCTTAAATTGTGAGTGTCGAATACTTGCGGGTCCATAGAGCGCAACTCTGACTGTGATCTCAGCAGGTGGACAATATCAGGCTGAAGGGATGGAAATCCAGAAGAAAGAAATGGAATGAGGAGATACCAGGTCATGCTGAAGGAAATGAAGGTCCTGCCTGATGCCTCCATCACTGCTAAGATGTTCAACGACTACATGGGAGATGCAAAGGGTAAGCACAAGGCGACCAATGACCTTGATGAGGAACAGGCACATAAGAAATCCCAGACCGACAAGTTCTCCAACAACTTGGACTTTGTGGAGGACAACAAGGTGGAGATTGAAGGACATGAGATGCTGGTGACAGAAGATTAGGTGTGTGGTCTGAATGCCATGGGCGAGATTTTGCTTGCATGGATTGTACTTTATGATGTGGTTGACCGATGAAGGTACAACAATTCAGATGGTGAGTCTGAACAATGTTGGGTCTTGCAGAACCTAGCTGCTATTCGACCCTAAAGGGTTTCTGGACTAGGCTTAAGGCTCAGAGGAGAGGAAATATCATAAAAACTACTGAGGACTCTGACTCATACTGGGAACTGGTGAAAAGGTTGATTCATTATGTAAGCTACAAAAGTGCCAACATAAGGTAAGGTAAAAACAGTCTCTACAAGTCCAGCCAGAAATGAATCCCTACATCTCATGGGAACTTTAAATCATGACTGTCCCCAGTCATCTACCTAGGCAAACCAAAGCTAAGCTAAACTTAAGAGAACTAACCTGGGGGTCCTCAAACACCTTTTGTTTCCTTGACGCGTATGCCAGGTAAACTGCGCCAGTGAGTGAGGGTCAGGCAATGCAATAAAACAATATCCTCCAGACTTTGCTTTTAGTACTGGAGGAGCAGCGATGCTAAAGTGAAAGAAATGCGATGATGGTTGCATGGATGACAATGGGGAGTGGACGGATAGAAAGAGGCGAACGAGGGCTTCGAAATGAGTATAGGGTTGACTAGGTTTGGTGGAGAACGGAGGGAGATATGAAGGAAATGGTGAAAATGCGCGAAAATAGCGAAAACGGCGAGTAGCGAGGGCGCGGGCGGGCGTATCGTAAATCTGATCGGATGGATGGAAAGAGCAGGAAAATGCGGTCAGAACACGCCTAAGGCGATGGGCGCGCGATCACAGGGCGACGAGATATAAAGAAAACACAAAAAATGTGGTGAAAAAATGGGGGGAACGCGCAAATGCGGATAGCGAGCGAGCAGCTGAGCGCGCGAAGGCGCGGATATGCGCGAATGAAAGCCATGAATGAGGGCTTCAAAACAGATATAGGGTCGATGGGGTTCTGAGGCGAAATGGGCTGGTGAAAGTGCGAAAAATGCGGAGGTGCAAGAGGGAGGAGGAGGAAGGAGTATGGTACAGGGTAACAAGGGCTGGTCCTATCAAAAAGCGGATTGGTGCAATGGACAGAGCCACTGAGGGATGGTAAATGGCCAAAAGAGCTAGATGAGACAGGCCTTTGAGCACCCAGAAAATCCTTATCTCCCCTCAACTTCTCAAAAACACCAAAAACTCGATATCTCCACAACTACTGCTCCAATTTCGATGAACCAGGGCTCAAAATGACCGGATGGACGAGGGGAATACGACCCTAAGTTTGCGAGAGATCCGCTCGAAAAATGCGTGGGAAAAACACCTATCAGTGCGCTGGGGAGGAGGACAAGATGCTGAAAACTGGGGATTATGGGAGAAGCTGGTAAGGAATGACTGTGGTTGGATAATAGGCGAATTTGGGGGATGATTGGAGAGCTGGAAGAGCCTAGAAACACAAGAAACCCTCGTGGTGGGCTCCAGTTGAAAGTACAACAATTCAGATAGTGAGTCTGAACAATGTTGGGTCTTGCAGGACCTAGCTGCTATTCGACCCTAAAGGGTTTCTGGACTAGGCTTAAGGCTCAGAGGAGAGGAAATATCATAGAAAACTGCTGAGCACTCAGACTCATACTGATACTGGTGAAAAGATTGCTTGCTTATGTAAGCTACAAAAGTGCCAACATAAGGAGAGGTAAAAACAGTCTCTACAAGCCCAGCCAGAAATGAATCCCTACACCGAGCTTCTTGCCTTCTTCAAATGTTTTGTATTCTGTGTTTGATTGATGTTGTCCTCTCCAAATGTACATTAAAGGTCAAAAGCATAGGAGCGCGAATGTGATAACTGATGGCCCCAGAAACACGGTGATATTTGTGTGCATATCTGTGAATGCAAGATACAAATTTGGTGTCAGGCTACTGAGTAAGAGTCAGTTCAGCAATGAGATGTTGACCGAGGTTTGGCAAAGTTTTAGGTGAGAGCTCTTGGCTTTGATTTTGCTGAATGTTGGAGCTTAAATTACCCAACCCTACATCACGCTGTTATCTATACACTACATACTTTGTCCTTGATCTATGTCCTACAACAATGGATCTTCAATCAGAACTCCCGCATTACCTGCCCCAACGGCCAGAAGCTCAATGCCGCCTGATCAAACATTCAATTCTTGTCACTAGTATTCTAATCTGTGCTACAGCAAATATCCTGGAATCACTGTATGCAAAGGATCCAGAACCCTACCACACATCTGCTCTCTCAGGTGAATCCTGGGTTATGGAACTGTTGTCCAGTCATCCAGAACAAATACGGTGTGAACTTGGTGTCCATGCACATGTCTTTGTGGGGCTCATATCCGAACTTCATACCCTTGGACACACCAACTCCAAGTTTGTTTTGTCAGAAGAACAACTTGTCATTTTTCTATATACATCGGTCACAGGCTTGTCTATCAGGCATGTTGGAGAAAGATTCCAGCGCTCAAATGATATGATTTCTCGGTAAGTGTGCACTAAGCTAATAGTTTTGATGTCTCATTGTATGTTCTACAGTTATTTTCGCAAAATGCTCACTATATTCATGTCCTCCCCCTTCTATACAAAACATGTTCAGTTGCCGGATGCCTCCATCCCTGCCAAAATTCGCCATAACCCCAAATCTTATCCGTTCTTCAAGGATACCATTGGGGCCATTGATGGGAGCCACATCCACATGTCACCTCGTGCATTTGAATGAGGTCCCTATCATAATCGAAAGGGATTCGTTTCACAGAACTGTCTATTCACTTGTGACTTTGAGCTTAACTTCATGTACACACTCACTGGCTGGGAGGGGTCGGCTACAGACACACATGTCTATGAGGCTGCCAAGGGCCACAACCTTTGCATTCCTGCAGGGAAATACTTCCTTGCAGATGCAGGTTTCCCTCTGCGGCCTGAGTTACTCATTCCTCACCATAATGTGTGCTACCACCTTGCAGAATGGGGTGTGCAGGTGTAAGGTGAGTGTAGCGGCATTTTGCTTTGTGCTACACACTGATTTTTTCTACAGGCCAACTAGCAAAGAAGAACTATTCAACCTCCATCACGCTGTAGAGACTAATATCTCTGTGGGCTTGCAGGGATCTAAAATCCCAACATCTCTATCACTTCCTAATATAGCGCGACTCATATCTCACTCAGCGTGCTCAAGCGCTTCGTCAGCCGCTCATGCGCATGAGCGCTTCAGTTGCGCATCTTCGGTTCCGTCGCCCGTCCTCCGTCCATCCATTCCATGTCCGTTCAGTTTGTCGGTGTGTATTCCAATTCTATTTTCATTTATTCTGACATATCTCCGGCGCTTATGACCATATCTCGTATGTTTTCCGTTATGGACCCTTATATTACATATTATCTCGTATCCACTGTAGGAATACAACACAGAGTGGGGCTATACAAGATGGCTCCAAACTGATATCTTTATGTTGTGGTCTTTGCACTACCTAGTCTGCTATACTTGGTGAGACAAGTGCATTCAACCCAGGAGTCTGCGGTCTGGGAATAGTTCTGGGGGTCAGTGAGTGATGTGAGGTCAAGAGTCTGAGCGCGGGAAAACAATGTCTGAAGGTATAATTACGATGTCCGATGCAAAAAGTGTCGGGTCCTGTTACAAGTAACATCGGCTACATGGCCCCCCTATCATTTTTCCCCTTTGTCCTCGCCCTCGTATGCCTCCGGCTCGTACTTCTCTACCGACTATCCGTTGACCGGATCCTCGGGACCGTTCCCGTCCCTCATCCCCCTCCTATCGCACCAACGTGCGCACGTGCCTTCGGGCTATGACTCGTTCTGACTCGTGCCACCAATGTGGCTTTCCTTATCTTGTCTTATCTTTCCTTTGACTCGTGCATGATGCACATTGTATCATTTACCGTTGGTTCGTTCCAACATTTCTCGGTCTCATTCCGCATTCGACCTTACATCACTAATAAGGCTCTGCTACCAGCGTACCTATACCCTTTCCGTTTCCCCTTTGCCCTTACCTACAGTACGGTAGCCTTGCCCTTAACCCTTTCCACTTAGTATAAGTAGTCGGTCACTCTGTACTAGATTCCCTAACTTGAATCTACTCAATCTTCCCTCGAACATACTTCCCTCTGAAGCCCCCTCAGCTTCAGTCTCTAGTATCTTTTCTTAGGTGCTCATCGCGCCTAAGTCTACCTCGATCGACTACCTCATCGTTCGGACAAGACTGTCCTTACTTTGAGAACGTCAGTGACTTTGAAGACATCCGTCTTAGAAGTCACGTGACACGCGCGTCTCTGATATCTGCCGACTCGACGTCGCCAGTCTCAGTCGCTACACCGGACCCTTCCGGTTACGTCACGAACGTTAGCGGACGACGCCCCTCTTAGGGCTCCGCATAACAGATCTATTTGAGTGCGTAACAGGTCCAATGTTTCGGGTTTCGGGTTCATCGGGTTCGTCGGGTTTGGGTTTGGGTTATCGGAAGCTAATAGTAACACAATAGTGAGCATTGGAAAAGTGAGTGGTGTGCACAATAATAACAATGATAGATACGGACAATGAAGGAATAATGATATTCGCAGTGTCAACTAAGAACTACAAAATATCGGCTTTGACCCCTAAGTGTCGGAGAACAGCTCTTTTCCACTTGGATGATGATGATGCTATGGGGAGTCCAATATTTATGTAGATACATAGAAATCCGGAGCCCTATAGGCAAAAGTAGTAGCACAATATTTCGAATCTGTTGTCCTATGTAATAAGACATGATGTACTGTGGACCATGAGAATACATGTAATAATGTGGTCTGAAACATTAGGGATGTGTAAACAAGTAACTACGCACCTAGTGAGGCTAGCACAATGAGACTGGACATAGGTAGGACGAGTCCGTGTGATATCCGATAGTCCGATGCGAAACCCGATGCGAAACCTGATGCAATGTCTGATGTCTGATGTTTTCAGGTTTGGTACATATTGAGTTGGATAGGATAGGAATGA